CTGTGGTAAAGAAATACTTGTCTTCACATACAACTCTGGGGACATAAGGTGAGGTCCTAAACGCAATTTTGCTGTCACTAAGTACGTACATAAACAAAGAACTGATGTTTGTTTCCTTTGTTTGTTTCGATGAAGCTGCTTTGTGCTTCAATGTCGTTGTTGCAGGCAAAACTTCAGTTTGATTCCACTGATTAGCCTGACTATCTGGTTGACTATCAATGCTTAAATTGTGGCCAGCAATGTCAATTTCATCAGCATTTTGGCGGTTTTGGAGGTGAAATCGTCAAAATAACCCGCTACGCTAGAAGCAGCTGGTAGCCATGATGTTCTGCCGTGTGTTTTGGCAGGCTTTGGCGCAGTGATCTGATTATCCCGGTTAGGTGGGCTACCCCACTCTGCAGCTTTCACATTGAGAATTGGGACCAGCTGACCGGGTAACCCGCCTTGGTGGGGTACCCCACCTACATGTAACATGCAAACGTGATCAAGAAAAAAAGAGAGAGTATGGATAGATTGGTTATCTAGCAAGGCTGGGGACCTCGCCTGCATGAGGTCCCCCACCTCCATGTGAACAGGCCCTTAATTGTTCTAATTTTCTATACATTTTTTTGTCTGTAAATTTGGCTGGGTAGATGGACGTCTAGACGCTGTTCACAGAAAAAAAGTTACGGACAAATTTATGGAAAATTTAAAAAAAATAACTGAGCATCTTCTAGCTGAGCTACATCTTTCAAACTTGGTGAATGCAATCTCCTACTGAGTATTTTAACGTTTTGATCCACAAATTGTGCAAAATTTAATTTTGGAAAAAGTTATTTACCATTGGATTCCCATACAAACACTGTAATTTCTGACTGCTTTGCCTACCCGTCAAGTTGTAAGTTTATGCTTCCATACCCTTTGAGCAGTTGCATTTGGCATAGGAGAAACCAACTGCTTGTAGGGAATTGCTTCCAGCAAACCATCAATCAATATTGGAACATTCACCCATAACATTTCAGAGTTCCCATTAAACGAATAATATCTGATTTGACTGTAATAAGAATCTTTTTCATTGTCACTTTTGCATTTTACAGTTCCCAAAAGGGCTGCAAAATAGTATTTTTTTTTATCATCACCCTTGTACAGGTTACATTTCCAAAGTCCAAAGCAAACCTTGCTCTCTTTAAGTAGTTATACATGTACATGTATGGCTTCCCTCCTCCTGTGATAACCTTTTCCAGTGTACAATATTGTAAACATGGTTCACATTTGAAGTTTGATTTTTTTTTTAGAACGGCTCTTCACCTTGCCTGTGCTCAAGGTAAGGAGGACATTGTAAAATTCCTCCTGGCAAACAATGCTAAGACTAATCTCTGTGACAACTATGGTCGAACACCACTCATGAAGGTAAGTGTTAACCATATAGAGTAATACAAAAATAATGTTTAGTGAAAAAGCCAATGCAGCTACCATTCATGTTCTGGAAATTACATTTTGTATCTGATTCAATCAGACCTGAATCATGCAAACCGCTGTTATTTCTTATTTGAATGAGTTATTATTTTCAAGGCAGCTTTTCCAAGGCTTAAAAATTTGCTGATAGCCACGACCTACTATGATTTACAGGGATGTTATTAAGTTTTGTGTTAACTGTAGCCATGATCTTCACACCCATAATAAACTTGTTAACAGCTACATGTACAGTATAGTCCAGTACACCCGTAACAAATCGGGCCCATCAAACATACTCAGCTGTAGTAGATATTATTGACATCCCTGGTTTAACTGCATGTATAAGGCCCAGTTTTCTCTTTTTAAATATTAACTATATCATTTATAAGGCACAGACTTCCATATCATGCTTAATCATGCATAATATTAATATAGATTTACATGTAGGCAAGCCTAAAAGCAGAGCTCTTGGTTGCAATAATCAACCATAAAGCAAAAAGAGGATTTGTTTTTCTTGAATCAGACACCTAAAAAATGATCAATAATGTGAGCATGTAATCGTGAACTCAGCCTGTGGTTTCACTATTTTGTCCGGTTAAATTTTCACAAACTATACCCAAAAAGTGTAGCCAAGATTGTAGAAATTACATATGCAATATATCAGGGAATTTCCAAGAGATGATATACATGAATGCTTAGTCATGCATAGAAATTAAAAATTATTAACTATATCAAGGATTGTGTGCCCTATTCTAATAATAATAATAATAATATAA